TGGGAGGGGAGCTGTTGCATTGTGGTAAATTGTGGTCAATGTCATGAGACAAAGTGTATGTGAACTGCTGTATGGAAAGTGAATTTGCTCTGTAAAATTTCACCCAAATCACACACACAAAACAGCAGCAGCAGCAGCAGTGTGGTATGGCTCTTCTTCCTTCTTACTATTTGGGCTACACAGTGCTTAAGGCATCTGACTGCTAACCAGAAGGTTGGCAGTTCAAACCCACCAGCCACTCCATGGAAGGAAGAATGGGCAGTCTACTTCTGTAAGGATTTACTGCCTTGGAAATCCAATGGGGGTCGCTATGAGTCAGAATTGACTCAATGGCAGTGGGTTTGATTTAGTCCTAACAAAACAGAAGGGAAGAGTCTCCAATTGGCAAAAATAGCTATAAAAAACTGAAGCCATAAAGGTAAAAACTGAGGCAAGGAAACAGAGGCCACAACAGGAAAATTAACTGCACTGAAAATCAAGCAGGTAGAAATACAAGGACACATTTTTTCTCACAAGTAATTTACTAGTGTCAAGATATCCTTTAAAAACTGTGTCACAAATAGGCAATTTTAAAAAGTTGCAGTAACGTTAAATACAAAAATCAAGGCATATAAGGAATATTAAGTTCTTCTAAGAAATTCCAAAAGAATATTAAAGGGGATAGTTAAAAAAGAATATGTCCTGCTCAAGAAAACTGGAACTTATGGGGTGGGCAAAATGAGTTCACACATATAGATGATACATGTGTGTGAGCAACATAAGGAGGTATTCAAAGTCAGAGAAACCAAGAAATTCAAAATCAAGAATGATGAAGTCCTACCCTGCCACTCCTATAACCTACTCTTGGCTCAAAAGCCAGAGCCCCAAGGAGATCCACAGTGGTTCTAGCCATCATGCTTGTCGGTCCAGAGCCCAGAACACTGCCTTCTCATTCACTGCTCTCCCATTGTTCACATCTGGACTCTCATGAAACAGGATCTCGATACCAAACTACCAGGCACTTTGAACAACATCTGAGTTCTATAAGGGTTACTCAGGAACTTCTACTTCAGACACAGAAGTGGTTAGAAAAGAAATTTACACTCCTTTCCCACCCCTATTTTCATCCTGTGACTACAACTACTAAAGCCTAAGTTTCATAAGGCAGGTAACAGCACGAATGTTTAATACCTTACCTGTACGTGTCAAAACTCCTCTTTAACTGTGTAGAGAGAGAGACAGACAGACAGAAAGGTCTAGCCCATTCTTAACGAGTACAACACTGTACTTACTTTGGGATAATCCAACTCAAAGAACGTTTCCAAGTTGTTGATTAGGTTAGGATCTACTCCTTTCAGTGGTTTCAGAAGAGAGACACCTGGGAGCTTACTATATGGCTGTTTATCTGTCGCCTTCTTGTTGAGGTGTAACCGGCTAAAAAGCAAACGATACACAACATATTAATTCTGTAGCATATACTAGTGTTAAATCTAAGTAAGCACGCAGCAAGCTGTCAGTAGATCACTAAATTCAGAGTTAAGATTATTATTGGTTTTTTTCAGTTGACACCTTTCTAAAGGGAGCTCTGAAAATGAAGGGAAGCAGAGCCAAGTTAAGTTTCTGGTTTAGGAAAACTAGAACTAAACAGAATGAACAACGAATAAAAGCCAGAACGTAGACTGTTCTTTACTGCTGTGCTCTTAGCACTCAGAACTATGCTGGGCACTAAGCAAGCATTCAATAAATACACAGTAAAGAAATGAATGACAGTGGTAGCCCACACGTTAATCGCCCTTCTCAAATTGCCATGGAAGTGGCAAAGGACTAAAAGTGCAGAAAAATAGCCATACCCACACCAAAAATATATAGAAAGGTAACCATAAAATTTTAAGGAATTTCTATAATAAACATGATCGAAAGAAGTACCATTCTGAAAAAGAAATAAGGAAATCAATACCGTTCTCAATAGCTACCAAAAAAATAAAATACTTGGGAATAAATCTTACCAGAGACACAGAAGACCTCTAC